TGATATTTCATCGCGCCTAAAAATGCAAAAATATAAATAAACAAATAAAACAAAATAAAAAAAAAAAGCAAATTAAAAATCTCTTATAGAGCTAATTTTCTTAAGCAAGGTATGCTACAGTTTGAGTTCTTTTCATCATATTTTTTACGGTATGCTTTGGTGTTACAAAAAGTGTTCTAAAAGATAAAAAAAGAAAAGTAAAAGTACAAAGCCAATATATATCTTGTTAAAAAAATTAAATACCTTGCTATAACGGTGTCCACTACAAACAACTCTAAATAACACTTAGTTAGAATAGAATAGCATGGAACAACAATCGATACACCGGAATACCACCTGATCTTCATACTGTGAGTGCAGTCATGTGTTGAAACAGCGATTAGAAAACATCCCTGAACTTGATTCTTTAGCGTTTTTTTTTTACTACGTTTACAAAAGAAGTAACGTTTTAAAATTTTTCGAATTCTTTCGTGACTGCTTTGTTCCCGATTACGAGTACCAAGTGGGGGACACTTAGAGTAACGGCATCGGTTTAGTCGAGTTCCTACGCATCCGCGAATTTACGTCCAATCTTAATATTGGTAACGTGATTGTTTAAACATTTTACCGCTACAGCTGAACTAGACCAAGAAATTTAGCTTAACAATTGCCCCATAATTTAACTAAAGTTCTTACTAGCACTGATCAACCCCGGATAAATAAATGAGAGTTGCATTGGTTGGGGAGGAGGGCAGAACTGGGAACGGCCGTAGATCTTGTCGCTTTTTTGGCTCTACAAAGAACCTGAATGAAGAAGTCCGTTGATCATGCGAGAATGCTAACTGTTTGCGTTGTTGTCTGTTGGCGGAGTTTCGTCATCAGAGATTTCCTCTCGAGGAGATGGCCGAAGGCCGTCACGCGAAGCGAGATTTGTAATTGTGTCGGAATTTGCACGGAGATATCCGTCGATGTGTGGAAGGCGTCTAAGATACCCGAGCTAGTATTCTTTTTTCACTCTCCTATATAAGGATGGGAAAAACTGGTGTCCTTTTCCGGACGAAAGATTTAGACCCGAGATAGGGTGGGATGGAAATAAGCTACAATGTTAGAGGTGCCATGGAGCGGAGATCGGGCAAGACAATTAAGTTGTAAAGACAATAACAACCTCTCTGTCTGTTCTCGAAAATGATAGTTATTGCTTGGTTTTGTGCCTAATATAGTCGACAGGGCATTGGCCGCTGCAAATAGTTGCATAAATCTTCAGCTCAGCGAGCGTCTGATGTGTATCTAAATGAACCAAACTCTTTATATGCCAGACAGTACCGATTGCATCTGAGGTTAGTTCTGTACACTGGTCCCAAATAAATTGACTCTATAGCCCCAATGCTTATGCAAACGTGTACCACGGAATTACAACCTCTACCTCGTGAGTGACGGGCAGTTATCCACGTGGTCGCCAGGGGTACTGCATCCAGGCCTTGCAGAAAGAGAGTCGGGGCGCCAAAAAAGACCCTCTGTAAATGGGGAGAGTTTATTTTACTCGATCGCAGGGTTAGGGGAGAAGGGATCTTTTAAAAGACTCTTCTCTTCCTCGCAGGTTCCTTGAGAAGGGGTTGAAATGCTAAGTACCACATAGTAACCACCATACGGTGCACCTACCACACAGCGAACCACCACACACTGCACCTACCCCACGGTGCACCTACCACACAGTGCGCCCACCACATGGTGCACCTAGGTGCACCATGTGGTAAGTGCACTATGTTGTAACCACACACTGCACCTACCACACAATGGACCGACCCAGGCCCTTTACCTACCTCTCAGTGTACCGAACGAGGTCCCTCACCTACCACACAGTGAACCACACTGCACCTACCACACGGTGCACCTACCACATAGTGCACCTACCACACAATGCACGGACCCAGGCCCCGCACCTACCACTTGCTGCACCTACCACACAGTGCACATGCAACTACAATGCTTAATAGTATGGTACCATGGTTTATTTTGCAGCATTATACGAAAGCTATTTGAAGCATTGGATTTGTGGGGTTAAAAAAATTGGCGTTAAATGTTGTTTTACTAGTAATCACTGGAGGAGATTAACAAGGGTAAGTTGATACAAAACAGGAGAGAAAAAGTAAATCTCAATATGGAGCTAATATGGGATGGTCACGTGACTACCAAGATTTCTCGCAACTTTATTGGGGCCCTTTCCATTCAACCAGAAAGTCTGATTTGAATTTCCGGCAACTTTCAGTAGCGAATGGAACAGCTTTTTTCAAAAATTTCTAAAAGAGAGGGCAAACTCGCGAGGTATTCCCAAATTTTCGGAAACTTTTCCCCTGAAGTTTTCTTTCTCTTTTAAGTTGCTCCCGGAATTTCTAGAATCTTATATTCGGTTGAATGGTTCACATTTCGGACATTCAACAGTTTCCTTAATCCATGGAAACTTTTCCAGGTAATTTCTATTCCATTTGCTACTGTTTCCAAATTTTCGAAATTTTTGGTTGGAAAGCGTCCACGGTTACCATTTTTCCTTACCTATGGTGCTCCGCTTCGCGCGCGAAGCGCGCGGGAGTTCCGCTAAAACAACAACAGCAAACAAGAAAAAGTTCTTACTCACCTGAAGAGAACGTGTGGCAGTGCCGCAAGTACACGAGACTTGAAATTACAGCCATCTTTTTTTCTTTTCGTTTCTCTTTTTTTTTGTTTTCATTGTTTCTTTTTGAGTAGCCTGAGTATCAGGCGTTTCTGGGGAAAAGGGGAAAAATGGAAGCGAAATCTCTTCTCCCCTAGCCCCGTAGGAAGGCCTGATACTCAGGCTACTTTTTGAGCGTCGGAAATGAGACCCGCTCGTCCCAGTCCTACTCTGCCACATCAGAACAAAGGGCGATACACAGCTGGTACGCGTCGATTTTTAGACTCCCAAGGATTCCAAAAAACGTGTGGAACGGTTGTACGGGTGCGAAGGTAAGAATTACTTTCAGTTATTTTCGTAGTGAGGGTTTTAATATTGCTGTTGAAATCAACTGCATAAAGATGGAATGATAAACATGGAACTAATCGAATTAAAGCGAGCCAACCTATTCGATTTGTTTCATTTCACCAAGAAAATGCCGTCCTTGCCGGATCGTTTATCGTTAAAGGTTGACAGAAAATTACGTGTTGTCATCGTTTGGGTCTTTGAAAGCCATCCATGATACCTTAATGAGTGTCTAATGTTTAATCTTTTGTAGAGACAATTAGCTCATACGGCTTCGATGAGAATGGATACCCCGCCAGTACTTGTCGGGACGTTTAAAGACAAAAGAACTGCATGTGGGCATTTTGTAACAGTTGGAAATCGACCTTGGTTTGGGTACACATGCTGACCATATAAAAAAACGTCAAAATGTTCAAAACCTAAGCTTTTCAGTTGTAGATTTCTGTGGTCGTTTAGGGTATCTACTGAAAGTTGTTGTGTGAATTGTCTTTATGTCCAAATTCTGGCCTTCTGTAGGTACCGAGGCACAGATTCAATGTAAGCTGACATTGTAACCAAAGACTAGAGCCCGCGGGAGACAGGAAATTGAATAATTTTAATTCAGTGAACGAAAACCTTTTACCAGAATATTTTAAGCCGTATTGCATTTTTTTTACAACACATGCTTGGTTACTTGTGATAAATTAGATAAAATAACTACAAAGAAAAGGTTTGTATGGGAGTCTGAGAAAATAAATTTCAAATTTCTCAGGAATTGAGAAAACACAGGTAAAATCGTCATGCGTAAGATTTCATTTTGTGAAAGTTGAAGCTTTTGAAGTGTGTATTCTCGGCCTTCCATAAGAACCTTTTCTTTAGATTTATTTCATGTAACTTCAAGTTGCATTAATAGCCCTTGAAAAGTGTAAAAAAGAATGAAATATGACTGAAGTCATTCTGATACAGTACCAGGTATTTATTCATTGAAAATTAAGATTACTCAATTTCCAGATGGATTCTGTCTTAATATTATAATCGAACCATAAATAATATTTCAAAGCTTGCTAAAATAGATTAAATCAGCAATCACGAAAAAACCGACTATCGATTTCTAACAATTTTCAATATTAATTGATAAATTAGTTTAAAAAAATCTTGATTACGATAGATTTTATCAAGTGTTGAAATTATCAATTTGTAACTGGGATAAGTAATATCACTTGGATCATGGTACACCTAAGCAGGAGCATAGCATCCATATATGCACATGTCGACTCTCTCTTAATGGACACCTCTATAAGACAGACAACTCCCTAAAACGGACACCCAGAGTTGGTTCCTGCCTTTCTTTACTACCTTTATTTGACTCTCTATAAGACGAACATCTCTCTAAGACGGACACTTACTGCCAGTCCCAAAGGTGTTCATCTTAGAGGGAGTTGACTGTACACCCAATCATGCAGCTAAAATCTCATTTCACTTTATGTTGGTGTCTCTGTGTTAGTATTTCCTTTATCCTATTTATATTATTCCATAAATGGACAGCGGGGTGAAAAAATATAAAGATGCCCTTACCTGCCCCCTTATGGCATTTTCTTCGTATTTATTTACTGGAAAGATTTTGCAAAAAATTCTGTTTGGAATGCCTTTGGCACTCTAAGTTTTCTTGATCCCTTGCGTACAACTTTAAAAATGTCAGGCTACGCCTTGATGTTTGATGCACAGGATTATTGTGGATTCAGTCTTGCATTGGTGTTTGGTTTTGAAGAAAAAAGTATATTAGACATTTCCACCTATATTACTTTTTCAGAAGTGGTTAAAAACAATGTAATAATAAAAAGGAAATCTTTGATTGCAGGATTAGGTTATGGAGAGGAGCCAAGCCGAAGAAAAATTGTTTAAATGTCAACAGTGCAGCAAGCAGTTTACTTTGAAAAACTCTTTACAGATCCATGAACGAATCCATTCTGGAGAAAGGCCTTATGAATGCAAACACTGCGGTAAATGTTTTAAGGACAGTGCTGGTTTAAGACAGCATGAGAGAGTCCACATGACAGAGAAACCTTATGAATGTGAACACTGCGGTAAATGTTTTGCACAGTCTGGTCATTTGCAGCTTCACAAAACCACTCACAGTGAAGAAAGGCCTTTTGAATGCAAGCAATGTGGCAAGTCTTTTAAGCGCGCTGAAAGTTTGAAGTTGCACACAAGATCTCACACTGGTGAAAAGCCTTTTGAATGCAAGGAATGTGGCAAGTGCTTTACTTCTCAGTCAGGGTTAATAACACATACTAGAGTCCACACAGGAGAAAGACCTTACGAGTGTAAACAGTGTGGCCTATGTTTTAAGCAGTCAGGTACACTGAATGTGCACAAAAGGACACACACTGGAGAAAAACCTTGCAAGTGCGAATACTGTGGTAAGAGTTTCCTCACTACCAGCAACTTACGATGCCATGAGCGGATCCACAAGGAAGTGAAGCCTTTTGAATGTAAACAGTGTGGCCAGTGTTTTACGCAGAGTGGCAGTTTGAAACAACATGAAAGAATCCATACTGGCGAAAAACCGTACCAATGCAAACAATGCGACAAGTGTTTCAAGAACTCAAGTGGTTTGCGGTCACATGAAAGAACCCATGCTGACAGGACACCTTATAAATGTAAACATTGCGTTGTGTATTGTACGACATCTGGACGTTTGCGTCAGCATGAAAGGACTCACACGGGGGAGAAGCCTTATGCATGTCAACACTGTGGCAAGTGTTTTAATGATAGAGGGGACTTGCGCAAACATGAATATATCCACACTGGAGTTAAACCTCATCAGTGCCAGAAATGTGGCAAGCGGTTTATTCAAACAGTTCAGTTGCGAAACCATGAAAGAATTCACACTGGAGAGAAACCTTTTGCGTGCAAGCACTGTGGCAAATGTTTTAATCAACGTGGAACCCTGTGGAAACATGAAAGATCACACTCAGGAGAGAAGCCATTTCAATGTGAAAAATGTAGCAGTTGTTTTAATGCTAAAGGGAGTTTGACAATACATAACAAAAACCACTGTATATTTAGACCAGAAAAGGATTCATCCAACAAAAAACAAATTTCCGAAACCTTCAGTTGCTGGGTTTGTCAGGAGGAATTTAAAAGCCAGATTCGTCTCCTAAACCATTATGATAATCACATGAACCAAGGATAAAAAGATGAATAAGCTGCCTTTCATGTAAATGTGATGCCAGGGGTGGGCTGAGATTAATAGTCAGTCACAAGAATTAACCAGATTGATCAAACCAAGAAATCATTAATTCATTTTATTAGAAAATTGTCTTAAATTTTAAAAATTCTATTAGTTTTCATCTTTTGTGCTAGTCAAACTGTCATAAACTTCTGAGATTTTCATTTTTTAAAATTAATTTATTTTTTATTTTATTTTAATGCATGTACAAGTTTTGTTTGTGACATCAATGGACAGAAAAAAGGCACAAATGCGTTGTTGCATTTTGGAACACTAGAAAAAAAATATATATAAAAAGGTGTTTTGGTGGTTATACCTTTATAATTACTAGTCTGCCATCAAGCAGACAACATACAAGTTTAAATATTTTTCATTAATTTTTCACGACAAAGATATTTTTTAGAGATGATTAGAGACGTAAAAATGAGAATTGATTTCAATGATCGGCACACCTATTGACTTTATTGTTAGCTGCATATTGTTTTTATCTTATCTTTTTTAATCTTGATTTTGAATACTATACATTTTGGATGACATCTTTTCTATAATTATGTTGTTAAAGCTGGGAGTATTTTTATATCAGTGTGAGTATTGACAACGTCACTGTATCAATCATTGCATTAATAATTAATCGATGCATCATTCCATTGCAATTATATTAATTAGGGAAAATGAAATTATTTTGAAAAGTACACTATTACCAGCGTTTTGGAAACAGACAGGGTACAAGCCTAAAAAGAAGCAGGGGTGCTTGGGGGAAAATCTCGGAAAAAAAACCCTGAACAGATACCATGCGAACAGAGGCTACATTTTCGCGGTGTACTCGCTTGGTACTGAATAGCCTTCTCACTAGCCTGCGTAGCAGGCGCTTGGAAGTAGTGGGCACAAGAAAAAACGGGCGCGCGAGAAGGAGACACCCCTTGCGTGTCTCCCTCGCGCGCGCCCGTTCTCTCTTTCGCCCGCTACTTCCAAGCGCCTGCTACGCAGGCTACCTTCTCACCAGCTGTTTTTTTCTGTGTGTGTCTTCACGCAATGCTACATGTTCTACGGTCTCCCTTGATTGTTAGAATATTGCATTTCTTTGCCATGATAGTTACTGAAGGCACACCAGTGCGTCCAAGGACACCAATTTACTGCCTTTGCCCTGCAAACCGCTAGACGCATGGCTCGGATGACTGCGAAAACTGATAGTGGTCCCTTCTCCAGAAGCAGACGTGGTGTCCTCAATTAGTAGTTTTGAGCTAAGTGCTTTGGCGCTCAAATGAAGTACATATAATTATTTGGCAGTCACCACTACGCAATGAAATCTGTGTTTCCTACACTCCTATTGGCTTTTTTTTCCTTTTTTTTTTCCTGAAGAAGTCAACGGTAAGAAAAATAAAGACGCGAATAATAATAAAAGCAAACACATTTATTTTGTCAAGTTAGTACTTTTAGCAGGTCAAATAATTTAGACCATCCTGATTACCCATTTGTCGCTTAGCCCGCCAAAACAGCCGTTTCTCCTCGCTCTTAAATTCGCAGCTGCGGACGTTTCCTCGCGAAACGTCCTCAGCGGCGAAGAGTGAGGAGATACAGCTGTTTTCGCAGGCTATTTCTCGCTCTAAGTGTAACGATTAACGTGCTAGCCGGAACAAAAATCCCCAGAAAGCAAGCTCCATACAGTAACTGACTCGCTACGTACACCGGTCTTCTTCTCAACTTCCTCCAATGGTTTCGTTCTTTCCACTAAAGAAGCGTCTTCTCGAAAAGCAATAGACGGATGGGACTAGTCAGGTTTAAATTATCTGGAATTGTAGACTATGAGTAGTCCCCATTTTTGCGTTTCGCTCGCTCTATCCCTGAGGAAAAATGGGGACTACTCGTAGTCTACTGGAATCGGAAGTCGGAAGACAACCACGCAGCCTCAAATGCTGTGGGGAGGTGGGGGAAGGGGCACCTCTGCAAAAGTTATAACTACGCCTCGGACAATTCCGGCTATTTGTTCGCAGGTCAACAGGAATAGTCTAGAGTTAATACGTAGAGTTCAGTACCAAAGCTACAAAAGTTAAAGTGAACACACATACAAACAAGCAAAAAAGGAAAAAACAAATAGAAATAATCAGGAGTCCATAAACCGAAGCGAATTGAAAAACTCCCGTACTAAACGTATGTAGACCACGAGTAGTCCCCATTTTTCCTCAGGGATAGTAGAGCGAGCGAAACGCGAGCGCGCTTGAAACCACCCACGCGAGAAAAGGCGACACGCGGTGGGGAGAGAGAAAAATGAGGGATTACAGACAAAGCCCAAGCCAATCAGAGTTTTGCGTTGTGAGAGCAACGCATTAGTTCAAAAGCTTGGGCTTTGTCTGTAGTCCCTTATTTTTCTCTCTCCCCGCCGCGCGTCGCCTTTACTCGCGTGGGGTGATTTTCACGCGCGCTCGCTTTTCGCTGGCTCTACTATCCCTGAGGAAAAATGGGAACTACTCGTAGTCTAAAGCGTATGCCACGGCGTTTTACCGATCAGTTTATTTATAGACACATTTTACAATACTTTTTTCCCGCAAAAATAGACTATCAACCATGTCTACTAGCGCAATCTGAAGTATAGGACTATAAAAAGCAAAACTAAACGTTAGTAAAAGGTAAAAAGTATCATTTTTAGGTCTGTAGGTTTTTCTGAATGGTTTGAGGAATTTAAAAAGATATTCAAAATTTGCACCAAATCGTTCTAAAAATAAACTGGTCTGTGAAAACGCCGTGACACGAGCCCCAGCATGGAAGCGCTCGCTCCAGGTTATGAGCTCCTGAAATAATTTAATTGAAAGAAGAAATATGAATATTTGAATTAATGAAAATAAAATAGATAGGTCAGAGCCCAGTTGTTCGAAGGCTGATTAGCGCTATCCCGAGGTTAAATTATAATCCGGGTTTCTTTTTCTTTATTTAGTTGAGAAGCATCTTCTCATTAATTTTTTTATTCTTTTTAAATTCAGATCTGACGGCCAATTTGTGCCTTGTGTTATCTTAAGCCAGCTTTGAACAACCCGGCCCTAAAGCCCATGACTCTGGATAGATGCGTTAATAAATTACTACATACTCAAAAATGTTTAAAAAAAAAAGAGAGAAAGAAAGAAATGTTACAATAAATAATTAAAAACAGGTGTCGGACGGAACTATTGGGACGCTTAAGTGCGCTTACATAACCCCTTAACCAGATATGAAAGAGAAGGAATGGGACGAGATTGTTGATTCCAATATGGCGGCTAGAACGACTAGATTTTGGCTTTTTTGTATTGATTTTTCTTTTTGATAAAAAAAGACTAAACATTTTGGTTGAAAAATGCCAGTCGGCAGGAAAAGGAAATTTGCAACGGCAAATTCCACTGGACACCAACAAGAAACTCGCGGAAAGAGATCCAAGAAAAGCGAAGATAGTGCGGTGACCCAGACTTCAGTTGCAGTTCGGAAACGAACTTGTCGTCTATCGAAAAGGGAGAAAAAAGGGAAAAAGGAGAAGGCTAAAGAGTGCATAGTAATATCTTCGTCTTCGGAAGACGAAGAAAGTCCGATAAACAAAAAAGCTGAAAAAGACAGCAGTGGCACAGCTAGGAAACCAACTTGTAGGAGATCGAAAAGACAGAAAGACGGGGTAAAGAAGGGTGGTGATGCTGGGGAGAGTGCATTGATATCTACGAGATTGAATGCTAAAAGGACAGCTGCTAAGAAAGCAAAAAAAGGTGGTAATACAACAACTAAGAAAGCAACTGGTAGAAAATCGCGAAGGAAGAAGAAAGATCCAAAGAAAAGTTCAGAGGAGAGCAGAGTTATGCCTGCAAGTTTGAATGTCAAGAGGTCAGTTTACTGAAGTTGGCATAACCTGTGGGAGTCAACAAGGGGCTGGGAGCTTGCGAGAATAGGGGGCGGTAGGGGTATGGGAGGTGGGAGAGGCGAAGGTGGGAGGTGGGAGTTTGAACAGGGTGGGTAGTGGAAGTAATATGGACAATTATGCAGCAATGCATAATATTTTGCAATCAGAAAGGGCTAAAATGAGAGGAAGCCAAGGATAAATGGGGCAGGGGCTGGGAATACAAAGTACGCAATAAAGGAGGTTTAGAGATCTCCCTGACATCTCAATGGTCACCCTCTATGATTTTGCAAAATTTTGTATTTCGCCCCCGTCTTCCTCTGAACTGGAAACAGTACTTTGAATTCCCAATCCCTAGAAGTAGTAGACTGTTCATACTCACCTATTTTTCCATGAGATTGTCAAGATTTAGCATGTCTTATCATTAATGGTGGCCATCTTGATTTTCAAATGTACCTAAGGGGCAGGCGTTGATGATCTTGATGATCTTACGGGAAAGTAGGGGACTGTGAACAGTCTATAGAAGTAGAGTAGCCAATTATTTTTATATTCCCTGACGTATTTCCCTGGTTGGCCTGGGTCTTACCCTGGGACCAGCTGAACTGAAATGCATAAACCTCCAGGATAGAGAAGGAGGGTTCACCCTTGATTGACTGAGTAGGCTTTTTCCTGGGTAGAGATTTTGACACTTTTTGTCCCAGGGTGAGAAATTTTACATGACTGACATCTTGAAAGAACAAGAGAACCGTGAAATAAGTCATCCACCATCCTGGTAATTTCCAGAAGTCACCAAGAGCAAAGGATTTCTCTGCTCTTGATCTGCTAAGTGAATAAGCATCTGTGTATACACAGTATGACGTGTGATACAGCTTTTACCATTAAGTTTGTAGCAGTCATGCTTACCAATAATAATATTGTTGCACGTTGTTGCGTGTATGCATAGTAGCATACATGTTGTATTCTAATAATAATTATTCTAATATTACTGTATATATTTATGGTATGTAGTTAAAAAACCTCTTAGCATCTCTTTGGTTTTATAATGGTTAGAAACTTGACTAAATTAATAGTTTCAAATTAGGGCTGGGAATCAAAGACTCATCTGCAACTAACACATGCTAAAGTTTAGCTTATTTTTAGCAGTTTTTAACTTGTGAGCAAACTTCTTCTTGACATTCTATTTCATTCCAGTGAGAAAAAAAGGTTTGCTAATTTTATATTTTGATTCTTTTAGTGTATTGCCTTTGTCTGGTTCTTTGAGGAATGCTTGTCTGTTTTTTCTAGCAAGAGGTCAGGTATGTTTCAACCAAACAGTAAATTGAATAAGTAAACAAACCAGCAAACAGATAAATAAATACCTAGGGTCACTAGCAGAGGGAGTAAAAGCCCTGTTATTAAACTGTAAATACCCCTGGTAGGCCACTTCCAAGTTCCAAAAACCCTCACTTTCAAAATGGGGCTAGGTACACAACCTTTCTTGTGAAAACGAGTCTTATTTGCATGGGAATGAAAAATGATTTCCATATCAAAGGCCAAGCACCTACCCTTGTTTTGAAACAGAGGCCCGGGGGACCTCGGAAATGGCCTATTAAGGGCTGAGATAGTGTTGAAAAGTCCTTTTCAAGATAGCAGACTGTATTATCCCCTTATGCCCTACGAATCTGCTTGAAAAAATTTTATCAATTACAAATAATTCTTCAGAATAATTATCATATTTCAAGTCGTGAGTTTTACTGGCAAAGTTGGTGAGTGTACTGGTATATTGTATTTTCATCACCCCCATGATCTGTTGTTTAACCCTTTAAGTTCCAAAAGTGACAAACATTAATTTTCTCAGTAACAATATCAATACACAATCAAGAGAAAAGGTTATGAGAATTGATAAATTAATCCCCTAAGAGAAAATGCTTTGATCTTTTACCAAATTCTCTCAACTTATTCTCTTTGGAAATGTATAGAGACCAGTTTGGAGAATTTGTATGTTGATATTTTGGAACAGCCATTTAATTCTTGGAAAGAAAGCTGCTGGATTCCTGTTCTCAATTCTGTAGCACATGTATACCATGCACCCATTCTTGTGCTTCCCCTCTTTCATTGGGGAAGAGACTTTGTGTCATGAGACAGAAAAAAATGACTGCATGAGAAACAATGCTTCTGGAGACAGCATCCAACTTTTTAAAGAAAAAGTACAGACAATATGTAAATGCTGGTCTTTATGTCTCTTTTAAGAGACATGTATTAACCATTTAATGTCCCCTTGATGCGAGTAATAATTATTGTGACTCCACCCCCGTACAGGCGGTAGATTTGATGGATGCACATTACTGTTATTTAAAGAATCCTCATTTTTTTCATTTGAAATTATTTTGTTCTATTTGTTTTTGTTTTAAACCAGAGAGTTTGCATCAAAGGGTTGGCTCTGATCAAAACCCTGATTGGGTCAGTTGAAGTGTATGGTTCTGTTTTGAGACCTGATCATGATCCAGTGGAAATCTTCTGTCCTAGTACTTCAAGTCTTGCCGTGTTGTCTGAACACAGTGAAGAAAATTCCTCAAGAGGTATTAATTTGAAGAGAACATTTCAGGATGTTCTACAAAACCAGCCTCCTGAAGTGATGAAGAAGGCCCTGGTGAGATCAAGGAAATCAGCCACAGTTCTGTTGATGAAATCCTTACAAACCATAGAGACAAACTTTGTATGCAGCTTTCAACGCTTCCATGATATATTCAGCTCGAATCTTGACAAGGTATCTGTTGGACAGAACTTTTGAGACACAACTGGTGCTTTTCATTTTGCCAAACCAGTCAGTTAGAAACCAGTGGAATTATCAAGAAAAAATGGAATGACATTGTTCAGTTGAAACAAGGTCTCCAACCAAATTGAAGTGATCCATTTCTGTTCTGACCAAAACTTTGATTACTGCTTAGCAAAGTAGGATTGTAAATGCGAATTTTTGGAAATGGAAGGGCAAGTTTTTTGTTGGACAGGACTGACTGGTCAAAGAGGACCACCTCTTAAGGTGAACCACTTTGACCGGAAAATTCCCACACAGACCAAAGCATTCCATCTATTTCTCAACGAAAATTTCTGAAAATTTTGGCTTAATGGAAAGCACTCAGAGAATGCCAAAAAAAGTCTGATATAAAAATAATACCAGGTACATGACTAGACATTGTAGTCCACGGTTATTAAACTTTAGACCTATAGGTCTGGATTTGAGCCCGGCCACCATATTGTTTCCTTACAGCTGTGTGGCAAAATTCTTCAGAGGGTAACCTTCCCTCAGGGGGGGGGCGAGGGTGACGGGAGTGTTTTGCAACACTTCTAGGTTCCTGATGCTACAAAACTGGGTTGCCGCTTTTTCCTTTTGGGTGCCACTGGCTGATGGTGCATCTCATAACATTTTATTACTGGAGACATGTTTAATGTTACAACTGACAAATCTGTACAAAAACTCCCATTTCTAGCTATGTGCTAAGTTGTTCTATTTTTTTTTCTTGCAGGTTTCCTCTCTTGACAAAATAGAGATGTCTTTGAAGAAGAAAACAGTTCCATTAGGATTTATTTTTGTAAGAATACTGACAAACAATTTTCCAATTTTCCCTAACTCTTTTGTTCCAGTTTGCAGGGTTACCATCCTTTGATTGTGTGTTTTTTTTTCGAAGCTAGCCAAGTTTCTGAACCTGTACAATCTATGGTACCGACATATGATTTGTATGAAAAAACTAAGATTTTCTTGTCCCCTGAGAGGAAAAGGTGGGCACCAGGGGCCACAAAGGCTCTGCAAGAGCATATCCCTGCCACCCTCGATAGAGGTAATTTGATGTGAAAGATTAAAACATTACAAGCTGCAATTACAATAATTTATATTTGAGTAGTAAAATTGGGAGTCTCTAAACACATAAAGAATAAATTTTTGGGGGGGTGGGGTGGGTAACTGAAGGGAAAATTTATTATTTTGTCATTATACCAGCGTGCAAAGAAAGTAGTGTCCGATAGCCCGGGGCTAGTGGATTTTGCTATCGGGCTAGTGAATTCTGTTTTCAACTTGCCCGACGGGCAAGTGATGTTTTATGAGGAGTTTGAATAACAGAAGAACAAAAAGTTTTTGGGGCTAGTTGAAATGACGTCTGGGCTAGTAAACGCTAGCTTCAGCTTGCCCGAATGGCAAGCTGTAAAAATGATTTTCTTTGCACCCTGTTATACATAAATACACAGGGCTGTGCTCGGTGGCCCCTGGCGCCTAACTTTTGCTCTTGGGTGACTATACAATCTTACTTTCTTCATACAGATCAAGTGCTGGGCACCATAGATTTTACAGTTTCAGAGCTCTGGGCTCCCTTCAATTTTCCTTAGAGCACAGCCTTGATACATGTACATAGGTAATAATAATAATGATGATGACAATGATATTGATAATAGTGATATTAGTTTTTGGAATTCAATTAACGCATTGACACATTCTGGCTTTTTAAAGAAGATAGCAAATAACACAATGTAGCCCCTTTCATTCATTTTTGTTCTCTAGTTGGAGCCATGGTACCCAGCACGATGTAGGATGTTGACAGTACCCGATCAGTGGAAAGTTGCTGCATCTTCAGTGTGTGGAACAAAAATGGGCATGGAAGGTATTAACATTCATTCATTTATACTTACTTTTTTCTATCATTGATGTAAGTTTTATAGCAAGAAACAATAATTAGTAATTGTCAGTTTTTGTTTTATGTTTAACAGCCAAGGCCCCTGTTATTCTTATTTGTGGTGGAAAGGACATTGGAAAATCAACATTTGCAAGATATTTAACTAACACATTCCTAAATAGGTATATTTTGCGTACAGTATATTTTTTAATATTTTACATAATTGAGTGGCACTATTGTGCTAAAATACAGTTGTACATTTGGTATCGGATTGACCAGGAAATGTCTTTTTGTCCATCTGTTAAAACTACAGTGGAACTTCTATTCAGGAGACACCCTCCAGACTAAGGCAAGTGTTCCCCGAATTTGTGGTCAGTCACTTTTTGAGTGCTAAAGTGTCTTCGGAATGGAGGTTAAATCTGGGTTTCGGGACCCAGAAAAAGTGTCCCTTTCCTCTTAATAGCTAACTTTTTTTCAGGACCAAATTTTGTGTCCCCTAAATAGAGGTGTCCCATGAATGGAGGTGTTGTAAAGGAGAGGTTTAACTGAAGCAAATATTTAAGTGCCTCTGAACTGGTTCTGTAAGAGTGATTCTCTGGTGAATTCCCCCGTTTATTTGTTAACATTGCAACTGCTATGATTTTTTGTCCATGAATAATGCATATGTCCGATTAGTCTCCAATGATAAAGGGGCTAACAGTCAAAATACATCATAAGCTATCTTTTCATCACCTCTAATTGGGTTAGAACGTGCTAACGAAGCAGCGAGCCATGCGAAAAAATTGCTAAACCGAAAAAGAAGTAATACGAAGAAAGTAAGTGAAAGCTAACCGTTGTAAATACAGTAAAACCCCGCCTTACGGGCACTTCGTTATTAGGGCCACTTTTTTGGCCACCCGCAAAACGGCCATACATTTTCTTGTAAAAAAAAACGCTCGTTAATACTGTCACCCGTTAATACGGTCATTTTTTTTTGGCCCATTGGTGACCGTATTAACGAGACCGGCTGAAGAGAGAATTCTAAACCAAAAAATTTAAAATCTTATTTTGTTCGTGATGGAATTAGGGACGCCGAAACGCTGCATTCGTATTGTTCAGCTGATTGTTAAGAATTAGCGATGAGGTTTCGCTCGTTATAGTTAGCACGAACTACAAGTACATGTGACCAGGGAAAATAATTGATACATCAATCTCAAATTGACCCCTCAAATTAGCCTGCATAGCAGGTGCTTGGAAGTAGTGGGCGCCGGTTCTTTCTTGCGGCCAAGTACTTCCAAGCGCCTGCTAACTGTTAAGCAGGCTACCCTCAAATTGACCGAGCGTTGATGTTGTAAAGAGGATTTTGATGTTAAATCAAAATGCTAGTAACTAAAAGAGTTATAACTCGCGCTATTTTGATTGTGTTTGGCACTTATTTTTCGTTTTTAGACAGAAGGAGCTGTATTTCCTCGAGTGTGACGTTGGCCAGTCTGAATTCACTCCTCCTGGGTTAATATCACTAAACAGAGTGTCTTCTCCCCTGCTAGGTTTGTACATTCAGTAAAAAGGCCTGTAAGTTCTAATTTTAGCTATGACGAAACGTTTCCTCCTCACTTTGTCCCTCTTTCATTTTTTCTTCAATCCGCCACTTGAACATCTCCCATAATGCACCTTATTTGCCCCCCAAAACTTTGCGTAGCCTTTGTTTTTCATTTCTCCTGGGTATTACCCCGGGGGGGGCACTTGGGTATTTTTTGGGTGGGTATGTGCCGCCCGGGACTCCAAATTGGCACCCCGTTCTAAAAAAACTTCCCCTAAAATTGATACCCCGTTCTAGAAATGGGCCAATTTTTTATACCCCGTTCTAGAATTCGCCCTAAAACTGATACCCCGTTCTAGAAATGGGCCAATTTTTTATACTCCGTTCTAGAAAGTTTGTAAATTAAAATAGCCCTGTTTTTTTTAAAAAATATTTCTTTATTTGTTCGACTAACACATCAAAGAAATGCTTCTTCATAATCAGCAACAATTTTAAGCAGAAGATAAAGCCGTGGTCCACAATTTTGTATACCCCGTCGTAGAAAACGCCTCTGAAATGGTACCCCTTTCTAAATCAGGAGCTTCAAAATCACGACCCTGTTGGGCGGCACATGCCCGTATAGGTAATGTATGGGAGTACCCCCCCCCCTCCCCGGGGGGGTATTACAGCCGTCCCAATGCTTATACAAAAATTTTGGGGGATTTGCAAGTGCCGTATACAGTACATATTATGACAACTTGTTTGTGTTCTGTGTTCCTTTGAATTTTAGGTCCACCGTTCACTCATCTTCGACAACCTGAGAGGTAATAACAATCTCCTTAAATAACTTGAAATTTGTGATTGCTGAAAAGCTATAAATTCCAGGTTTTCGAAGCTTTTGACAAAGTCATGTTTTAGCTGAGACTTTTGTACCTCTGTTGTTGCGAACGTTTTTTTCATACCACCGAAAACACTCTTGATAATTGTTGTCTTTTGCAGATCCGTATTTTTTGGTGATGTATCCCCAAAGGACAAGCCTGGGTTCTATATTCAGTGTATTTACAATGTGTATCAGACATACGCTGAAAAATACAGAAACAAGGTTCCATTGATTATCAACACACAGGGATGGGTCAAGGGTAAGTAGTTCAAACAGCAGAGTGCGTTATAGTTACGTTACAAAGTCGAACTATTTTCACTTTAAGTAATAATGATAATAATTATAATTATAATAATTATTATTATGGTTTATTAACAGCATTTCCATAAAAAAGGGGCCCTACATCTGCTAATAAAATATAAATTATATAGTGTATATTCAGCTAGAAAAAAATACATTAATATATCTGGCCTCGGTTGTTCAAAGGCTGGATAGTGCTATCCACCGGGTAAATCTCTATCCAGCGGATAAGTATCAGGGAAACCAATTACGCTATCCACTGGATAGTGATTTATCCGATGGATAGCGCTGTCCAACGTTTGAACAACCAGGACCAGGAGCATAAAATATGCGTGGTAAAAAAACTAACTAATTAACTAACTACTTCACTGTGGTTAAAAGAGTGTATTTTGAACTATTACATTACTACAATTTACTTCGCTCCTTTAAGATATTGAGGGTCTGTTTGGAAAAAGACCCAAAATTTGTACAAGTTTTGATTGGAGCAGGTAGGGAATTGTGCTAGTTAAACAGCGTGGCTATGATCGGGCAATAGTCAAGAAATTATTTTTCAAGCGTAAGAAAATGTCAGTAATGGTTGCCAGAAAAGAAAAAAACGGCATGTAGGAACAAAACGGATACCCCTTCCAATCAGTCATTTAATCTTCAAGTCGGTCACCCCATCAATCAATTCAGCAATTCAGCAATTCAGCAATTCACGGTAAAAAAAAAACGTATCACACTTTACTCCGATTTTGTAACCCACCCTCTCAATTTCCTGCTGGGTACCTGTTTAGTTAACTCGGTCGCCAATAGCTCTTTCCTTTTTTATCCAAGGAATGGGAGTACCTCTTTTGTTGGATGTGATTCGCATTGTAAAGCCAACACACATTGTACAGTTCAATTACGCCACCAAAGAAAACAGTAACAAGAATTTACCAAAGATGACAGCTGAACTGTTTGCAAGTACACCGGGATGGGCATTTACTGTTGAAGAGGAAGAGCGACCTGAAAACAACTCCAGGTTGTTAAAACAAATTTCAGTGGCTTTGTGTCTTACATTTATTAATGGAAAAAGCGCCCTAAGTTCGCGAAGCTTAATTTTTTTTGATGCGTTTAGCTTTCACGAAAACGGATGTTTTCGAAAACTCATTCGTGTGGACATGCTAATCGTATTGTTCGGTTTTAATTTGTACAGAGATGCCAACCTTTGTCCGGAGAACATTACAGGAAGTGATCATGATCCTATTGTGATTGAAATCAACTCATATGAATCAAAAAGCTGGCCGAGCTCCGTGTAAGTAACATGTTACCTTTCATGAACACAGTGATGCAAAAGAGCTAGTATGCATGGTCATAGAACGTTGAAAAACCGTTATATCAATATGCATATTCTCCACACTGTTCTCCATATATTTACCTTTGGTGGATGAGGGGAATTTGTTTAACAGTCTGTACCTATTTTTGTTGATGGTTATCTCCTTTGTTGTCACGACCCATCCTGGTCTTGTTAATCGGCTTACCAGTGCACTTAGTTCGTTTTGATTTCATTTTTGTTGTGTGCCGGTTTTCCTGAATGTTCGTCTTCAGAGGTGAGGAAAATGATTCCATGACTTAATTGTACGCATGTGCGTTTTGCATTTTTTGAAGAAAAAGTCCTGTCTAAAGTTGTTCTCAGAGCTTTCAATATAGTATTGAGGGGTGTTGCATCCATGATACTGCCACGAAGAAGAAAATAGGTGACTATCTTCATTACAACAACAATCTTTATTGTGCTTTTGATACAAAAAGTGTGTTAAGACATTAAAAGGAAACAATTGTGAGAAAAAAAGAGTGCACAGCCACTCAGAAATAGCAAAAGCTAATCGCGCTGAGTGGCTGGGCCAAGCAGAAAAGTAGCTAGACATCAAAGTTGTTATAAATAAACAAATGCACACAAAGACACCCAAAGAAGAAATATATAAACTGTAATAAATAAACAAATACACAAACGAATAAACAAAGAAGCAAGACAAAACAACGGCTGTGCACACAATTAGCTGCATGTAAAGTACACCAATTAATATTTGGAGATGACAGATTCTTTTAAAAGCTTTTTAAAGCGAAAACGACTCGTTGGTTTTATATCTTCTTTAATAGCATTCCAGAGTTTAGCCCCACTGAAACGGACATTATTAGACCTGTTGCTGACCCCGGCTATCAAAGAGATGAGTAGTGGAACAACCGCGCAGCGTGGGGATCCTGTGATGATGATAGACAGTAGTAAAGTCAACCTGAGGGGGCCATAGAAAGTGTTCTCACTAACGGGGTGTCAGTAGTAAGCGGGTTCAATTTAGAGAAACTGCAAGGGCTCACTTTCCCTAGGGACAAAGCGAACTGTCCGTAATAATAGGCTGATTTAGCAACAGAACGGGAACGTCAGTCGACGACGGGAAAGCGCGCGGAAAGGACTAAACCCGACTTCCGAGGCTCAATTTGCCTCTCTGCGATTGGCCATTCGAATTGTTTGATTTGCGCGCGCCGTCGTCAACTGACGTTCCCTTTCTGTTGCTAAATCAGCCTAATGAAGTTTCCGCAAAGCGAGGTTTAGTGTATCGAACCAGAGGATCGCAAAATTTATCAACGACGGTTGAAATATGTACTGTTTACTGGCTAATAATATATTCATATCTTTTATTTCTTTCTTTTCTTCTAGTTCTAAATTCAAAGCATCGGATCACCGGACTTTAGCATTACTGTCGTATTTCAGCAGAACAAAAGCTAACATCAGCCACTGTGAAGGCCGCTCTTCTCTTACACAGACTTCTCTTCTGTCTTGCGTTCCTTATTCAGTACCGTGGAACTGTGTGGGAATACACGTTATGCATACAGAGGTTCTGTAAAGTGTATAATCTGATAGCGAATGTTTTAACAACTTTGTGCATAATTGTTGATGGGTTGAGTTCTTGTGTAAATAGAGAGCTTTAGATTCTAAGACGATTACGACTACGAGGATGAGATTTCCTCATTAGGCTGATTTAGCAACAGGACGGGAACGTCAGTGGACGACGGGAAAGCGCGCGGAAAGAACTAAACACGACTTCTGGTGCCCAATTTGCCGCTCTGCCATTGGTCAAGCCAGTTGTATGATCTGCGCCCGCCGTCGTCAACTGACGTTCCCGTTCTGTTGCTAAATGAGCCTAATATTACTAAGTAGTGCGCGCCCTTGAACTAGCGACGTTTTGGCGGGAAAACTTGCTAGCCGTCGTCATTCTACTACGAGTCTTAGCGAGAATAGGGAGCTTTAGCAACGACGACGGCGACGGCAAAGAGGACGTGAAAACGGCGATAGGTTTGTTGAGCAAAACAACAACTCTGCACGTGCATCACGCTTTTTTGTTCATTTCTTTACCGTCCTTGCACGACTACGACGTGAAAATGCCTAATTGCAGGTTTTATGGAGGACGTAAACAAGCGACGACGAATCTCTTTTTCTCTCTCTAAACTTGAGTGCGGTCCTCAAGAAATCATCTCCAGGGAAATTCGCCTACACTTGCCATTTTCAGCAAATTGGAATAAACGCGACAAAGATTGCAAAAACGGGGATTCATTTTAAAACTGACGTTTTCGCTGCAGTTGCCGTCGTCGATGCTAAAGCTCTTTAATGTCGTAATGGCGAAAACGAGTTATCAAATGTTAGAAGTTTTATCTTTTTGCGATCGAGAGAGGGCTTAACCTCCTCGATATAGATAACAGTGCTAACTTTTCTACTGGAAAAAAAAGTATGAAGCTTTCTGGTTTGTCTAAACTTTAGGTTAAATCTTTTACTCATAGTCGTCTCATAGTAGTTCTCGTCCTCGAAAGCTCTCTAATAGCATCTCGTAGACAAAGTATTCAAGAACTCAAACCATCACTGAACTTCCAATCGGACACGATTCGCGCTAAGCTTTTCTATTAAGAAAGTTTCATGATAATGAAGCAAGCACAAATGCAGTTTAATTTATTCAAACTTCAACTCTTGAGCAATTTGAAACTTAAACATTTCTCACTCTTGAAAATGGTGTTCGAAACATTGAAAGGTCGAGTAACGTTCTTAAGTTCAATTTTTCTTGTTAAATTCTTCAAAAAGCAACTGACTATCGGGTCTATCGACATCAATCACCGTCTTAATTTCAAGAAACACACAGAAAAAAAAGAGCTAATCGTTAGTTATATCAAAAAATAAACAGATTTCAATAAGCAAAATTTATAACCCCATTGTTCGGCGTAATTTCCACCTCCATAGCGAGGTTTTAGTTTACACAATGTTAATGTCAAATTTCATTGCTGTTTTTATTTCTTGGGGCAGATTTCGTGGAATGAGATTCTGTACTCTGTTAATGCGAGTGTTGTAGGACTGGCGCGATGCGCTTCAGACGAGGTAAGAATAGGAGTCTCTGACCCTTTATTTATCTTCTTGAAAATGCCGTACAAATCCTTGTAATATGTTCACGGCCATTTTGAGGATTATGCAATATGGTACCACATGTATTTTAATACTTACCATACTGAACTTGGGCTGCATGTGACTTATCTAACTTTTCTCTTTGACGGAGCTCTCTTTTCTCCTTCTGCAATGTCGAGTCTCGCTTTTTGGGCGATTGAGTAAGTGACAAGTGTTTCAAAAAATGTGACGACTTTTGCATTCTAGGGGCTTTCCCTGAGATGGACCAGAACTTCGTCCATGGAGGTAAAAAAAATTCCAGTCTTTTCAAGCTATCGATGCCAGGATGATCTCCGGCTTGATAAGCGACTTGGCTTAAATTCAAGCTTTACTCATCTTTATCTATACGAGGCTTGAGGCTTAGGGCCTGTTTACATTTTGGTAGGGGACCCCAGATAGGTGAAGTAACCCGCCTGTCCATATAATTTCTCATATAGTCGCCCCACCTATCATGTAAACGTGATCAAATAAAATGAGAATCTATATTGACAGGCGGTTTACCCCACCTAAGCGGGTTACCTCACCTACCTTGGGGCCCCCACCTGGATCTAAACAGGCCCTTAGGCAGGTGGGTGGGTGGAGTAACCTGCCTGTCCATATAATATAATGTTTACATGATAGGTGGGGTGACACGCCACATGTCACCTCACCTATCTGGGGTCCCCTACCTCCATCTAAACAGGCCGTGAATTGAGAAAATAAGTTACCTTTTTCTTTCAGATGTATCGCCGAGGAGATTGCAGTACACCTTGGTGCTTTATGCGGAGTCCCATTACAGAATGCATCGGTTTGGGTAATTATCTTTTCTGATTATATAAGATTACTCTTTCATGTCACTGAGCTGCGCATGCTCGACAGCGGGAGCCTAACTATTCTCAACCCAGCACTTGTAACAGCGCTTACTCTTCTGACTCCGCGGTCATGCGCAGAAGAGCTCTGGGTCGAGTTTGCGAGATAAAGGCTCATGGACAGTCCTTTGGAAAACTCTTATCGCGTTAAATCTGACCTTCTTTTTACCGTCTTTTTTTATCTTATCTTTTAGAATTTTACCTTTTAGAGAGAGGGTTTGCTCTTCGTCATAGCGTGACCGTTTCCATATTACGTACTTCCCTGAATTAGTGTGCATTTACGAAGGAATATGTGATCTGCGATCTGTGCTCTCGTTTTCAAGAGGTTTTAACTGTTAAGGGTTGCGATTGGGGAGTTTTTGGTGTTGGATAGGTGCCGGGTCGCATATTTGCTAATACGTCTGTTTTCGCAGGCTACATATTTGCGAGGGTTACTTGTCATTTCGTCCCCGGTTACTTAGTCACCTATTTTCGAGTCATTTAGCGCACTTCAAATGTAATATTCCTCGTTCTATAAACCATAAACCATAACAAGCGCGCTTCAAACTGCAATATTCCTCGTTCTTTAAGCCATAAACCAAACAAGCACTCTTCAAATGTAATATTCCTCGTTCTAGAATAGGAGGCTGAGTAACCGGGGCGAAAAGACTAGGAGGCGAGATGATCGGTAACCTTTGCGAGAGGTGGTCGCACATGGAGGTGCTCGACTGTAGTTTTTTTTTTTTTCAGTAATTTGGCAGTTCAGGATTCGGTGTATTGGCTCTCTTTGGGGAAAAAATCCATTTCTGTTTTATCTGTAATAATTAACCGTTTCTCCCTTGTAGGAATTGTACGGAACATTGATCCCGTTGAGAAACTGCTCTTTGTGTTAACACCCCTCGGGTTGGATGATCTTAAACAGGTTAACACCTTACTTAAAGGAAACTTAGAAATTCCAGCAGCTCTACTGTTATCGGTGAGTAGAAGAGAATGACTTTGTACGATTTGCCGCGTAGCTACAGCTACAACATTTCCCTTTGAGCGGTTTCGCAAACTGAAAAAATGAAGAATAACTCTTATTATCATTCGATGCAAAATGTTCTTCCTTTTCATTGGCCGAAAGCCCGCCACGTGACCGGCAAACAATGGTCGGCCCATGCGCAGTGCCGTTTAACTGTGTTTGGCTTAAGTGTTTGGCTGCAAATAATCTTCTACTCATGCGATCTCTCTTGCGTGAAAAATGGAAGATCGCCTCGCTTCCCGAAGATATTCATTAAAAACAAACTTGGTTTCGAATGATAAAACAATTATTGATACCGTGATTTGTCAGTGTCTCCCAGATCAATTATTTTTTTCAGTCTTCGGCTTCGGCAAATGATTGATCTCGTTTCTGACAAATCATGATATTTTTCTCGACCTCGCCAATAATTGTTAACTATTTTTCAATGCAAAAAGCCGCTGATCATCGACGATAAATCGACGTTTTTCAAAGACCTCCAAAAAAAAAAAGATCTGTAAAGGTCCTAAAACTGGCGAAGACCTGGTGATTTCTTTGAGAATATCCTACGCAGAAGTAAGGAATTTTGTGAACTTGGTTTAATACAGTCAAACCCCGCTTTACGGACACCCGCGTAATACGGACAGTTTGCGTTGTCCCTGGGGAAAGAAAGCCCCTTACATGCTCTCTAAATTTAATCCCGACTTGATACGGACACCCCGTTACAACGGACACTTTCTATGCCCCCCACCCCCCCCCCCCCCCCCGCTCAGTGCCTGTATTACATTGGACAGGGTTTGACCGTATTTTTCAGGAACAGTCGACGTTTTTTGAATCAGGCTTTGTTCCAATTAGAGTGTTCTCCACCTCAACCTTCGGCTTAGGCAGATATACCTCCTTGATTTACATAATTCCCCTTCGGCTTCATATAAGTTATACCCAGCCTCATCCAATAGTCGTTTATTGTTACTTTTTTTCTTTTTGTTTAGACAAAGCAAAGTAATGCTCCTTACATTTCCACTGAGTTTTCGTATGATCTACGGGGAGCTGGAGCAAGGAAAGTTCGCTACAACTTGATGAGGAGGCAGAATGCTTGTTAATAATAATACAAGGAATTAATTATGTACAGAATAGGAAGCAAAATAAATGAATAAATTGACTCTCCTGGTGATATTGGCGTCTTGATAAGTGCAGGCCAGCGTGTTATCCCCGTTATTCTCTATTAGTGCAACCCTTTTTTTTTCCTTCTTTCCCTCTCTCTCTTCTCCTGCTTTCTTGCTCCTAGCTGCCTTTTTTTTTCTCTTTTCTTTTTCCTTTGATGCTGTGATGTTCGAGCTTATCGTGCTCAAAAAAACTGCTTTTTGGCCCTTTTTTACTCAAATGTTCCCAAATGACTGCAAATTTCGTTAAGATCGTTTTCAAAAAAATCGGCTATTCTCTCCTGGATAAAAAAGTGAAAATGCAATTTTTGAGGTAAAAAAAAAAAAGAGGAAATACGCACACCCTTCAAACAAGCGCTCTCCTTTGTCCTTTTCAGAGAGATTATTCGAGCTTAGCTTACACGCTAAGTCAGCCCCTTAATACAGTAATTTACGTTGACACTGCGATTTTGGTGATTGGTAATATCTGTTACAAGAAGTCATTCGAGTTGTTCTCCAGGATTTTCAAAGACTGACGATATACAGAAATGCTTTGTTTTAAGCGTGCCTGTGTATGGGCGTGCCTTTTTTTTTCACGAGGCATACTTACATCGTATTCATGCAGTGACGACAAAGAAATGGACAAAAAGGCGTGATGCACGTGCAAAGTTTTCGTTTTCCTTACAAAAACCTATTTTTTTTTTGTCATTCTCGTTGCCGCCGCGTCGCGTTCTCGTTGCCGTCGCTGGAGGGGTGATCTTCTTTGTCGGGAAAACGTTTCTCCATAAAAACCGATTCTTGGGTACCACATTGTACACATGACAGCTTTCGCAGCATGAAGCTCAGGTGGTGTTAAAGTAAGGTCATTGTTGTTCCATGTTTTTTTTAACTCAGTGCCACGTTTCGGCAACTTGTCAACACAAACTGATCCATTGTCGTCGTCGAAAGGTATTTTATTTTTTTATATGTCAACGTTTCTAACAAAACAAAAATAGCTGTTACTTTTGTTTAATTTCTTATAAGGTACTAACCATACCTGGCGTATTAAAAACCGATTCTTGGGTACCACATTGTACACATGACAGCTTTCGCAGCATGAAGCTCAGGTGGTGTTAACGTAAGGTCATTGTTGTTCCATGTTGTTTTTTAACTCAGTGCCACGTTTCGGCAACTTGTCAACACAAACTGATCCATTGTCGTCGTCGAAAGGTATTTTATTTTTTTATATGTCAACGTTTCTAACAAAACAAAATTAGCTGTTACTTTTGTTTAATTTCTTATAAGGTACTAACCATACCTGGCATATTGTAGAGGCTGATTTTAAGAGAAATTATTATTTTTTGTGGCATACTTGACCCTTAACAAAATTTGAATTTTTCTCTCTTCATTTCTTTTTTTCTTTTGTTATTTTTTTCTTTATTTTTTGTTTTATTTTGTGTTTTTGTTTTTTTTTTTCAATTTCCTTTAGGTGCGATGAAGTATCAAACAAATGGACTTGGATTATTACTTTTCGCCGCACTTGTTATATCGGCCCATAAAGAAGAAAACAGTGAAGTCTCATACAATGACGGGGGAGGTAAAGAGTTTAATATAACTATGCAAATTGTTGCTTTCAGGTCACCAGTACTTTGCCGTAAAATCTTGTTCTTTTATTTTGTCATTGATTGCCACGTTTGGACCACTTCAGTTAGTGCTGGTCTTTATCAATTACTGAGCGAAAATATTGGTGTAACAACGTGGTCGCAGTTCAAGCCAGTCATTTTCAATCGTATACACTAAATCGTTCATAAAGATGTTGAACAACAATGGTCCGAGAATGCTGCCTTGAGGTACCCCTGCAGACACACCTATCCAGCTCGAGAAGGTATTTCCGAGTTTAACCCGTTGATATCTCGATGACAAGTAGCTGCGCAAAAGAGAAATTGATTTAGCACTAAGTCCATAAAATTCCAACTTTTCAAGAATAAGGTCGTGTGGTAAGCAATCAAAAGCTTTGCTTAGATCCATAGCGACAGCGCCTATTGATTTATTCCTGTCAAGCTCTTCCTTCCATTGCTCTGTTAATGTTAGCAACGCCGTAGAACAGCCATGAAATTTACGATATGCGTCTATCTCTTTCGCGGAGGCGATCACATACGTATTTAGCTACAATTTTTTTTGCATTTTCTCTCCTTGCTTCATACTTATCATCGCCTCTTGCCATAAACGCCTCCCCTACGATGCACAACGTAAAGTTTGTATTCGACACCCCTCTCTAATAAACGCCCACTTTCTACTAGACGCCTCTTTGACAATTACTCAAAAATATTAGGAAATCGTAAAAAGTTTAAGAAACAAAATCATTTAATTTATTCAGGTTCTTGCTTGATTGACAGCGCTTTGTGCGTTGCATCTTGTTCAATGTCAAGTTTAAAGAACAGATAGGCTAACGATGGCGTCAACGAAATGACCCTGAGCTGTTAGCGAGGTTTCTGACATCGAAGGTGAGATCGTTGACTGGGAGCGATAGATCTAGACGACCTAGATGAATCAATGGACAGACTGGATATTCTGTTATTTGTTATTCTCTGAAAGCATTAATTTTGTTGAGATTGTCACAGTTATGAGAATAAGCGCCTCCCTCTTATAAACGCCTTTTATCAATTAAACGGCCCCTCCTGGACCCCTAAATTTAGATGAACGCCTCGGGCATCTATTAGATTAGTGTATTGTTCATATATTTTATAATAAAAGAAACTTTTCCCATGTTGGTCCGCTGTGGTACCGATCGGCTGTCGTGTTGTTTACTCGAAGGCATCCACGTCTTTGGATGTCAATTTATTTCACCACTTTTCATAGCGATCTTATTGGGTGAATTAGTCTTATATGAATAGCCTTTTTTACCCAACGGGGTCAAGTGAGGACCTCGTCCGATGCCCAGTATTAATGGCGTATTCAATGAAACGGAAAAAGTTTGAGTTCGTGAACTCCGTATGTCCCTATCGCGTTCCTCAAACCGTTCATGCACCTATCTCTCGTTTCGCCAAGTCAACTGATTATGCAAATTAGAGGTGAGAACGAGGAGACATTTTCATTACCATTACCATCATCATTATCATTAAAGAAAAAAAAGCGAAAATTCTTTTTAAAATTATAATGGTGTCTTCTGATCAAACGCCAGTCTTTTAAACTTATTTAAAATCTTTGCTTTTCAGTTGTTTCTGCGAAAAATCCATACGTAATGAATCAATGTGCTTATGGTGTGTGGAAAAGTCAGGGTGATCTACCACCTATCAGCATTCCGCAGTCAAACTGGCTACAAACACCATCAATAGTGCAGATTAAGAAAGGTAAGTGAACTGTGTTCAACATAAAAGTACCCCAGTATCTACCTCTATGCCGTTATGTTAATTTTATTAAGTTAATGTTTTTTTTTCTCTTTGCAGATCACTACCGAGCTCTTGGTCGAGTGATTCACGCTGCGAATTTAAAGGAACAGCTAAAAAATCAGAAAAAATTGAATCTTGATGCTACAAGAGCTGATATAAAACTCTTTCAGCAACTGGAAGTTCTCGCCGACACTCTTTATATTAAGGTAACTGATCTCATTCCCTCTTGAATAAATCTCTAACATGAAGCCCAGTTGGAAGTTTAAATTTCTTTCCCTAACTGTGCTCTATCATCTGTTAAGAGGCTGTCCGCGTAAGAACCGATAAGGCAAATTTCGGTGTATCACGGATTGCCCTGATTTTTTCAGTGGAAGATAACTATCCTATCCCATGAAGAAATATGACATTTATTTGGACCAACTCAATCTTTTCTCTATTTTACAGGAAGATTTTCTCGGTCACCTAAAACTGGCCCCTTTGCCGTCAGAAGTGGTGCGATTTTGGTGAAACTTTAGAGCTCTGTCAAAACTACCTTACATAGCCGAATAAGCTGATTATTTTACAAACAAAAGTTTTAACTCTGATTGACAGTTTCAAGGTTTAATGGTTGCATTCTGTGGAAAGTTGGCTGAGATATGATTTTTTTAAAATGACCTTTAATTTGCTCAGCAGGAAAAGTAATTTGCATAACTAGAGCTGAACGGTAATTTCGCAAAGGTGGCACCTGACCCAGACTCAAGTCTATGATAAATCAGAAGTACTAAGACCAGTCTACTTCTTAATGTAATAAAATTTGTGGGCACTCTTCTCTGCGCGCTGTACAAAGTTCCGTTAATGTTCCAAAATTCGCCATTTTGACAGCAAAGCTGGAATTGTAACGGGTCCGCATCTGATCGACTAATTTCCTAAGCTTTAACGTTTCTAGTTATCACCAAATATCATTAGACCCTGTAGATGTTGGAATTTTGAAAACATGAGGAGAAAACTTGGTAATCGCTTTTGCTTGGTTTTTTTCCTTGTCGACGATCAGAAAGCGACTTCATTCTCCGTATGCAAATTAGCCTTAGATGCGTCGTTTCAACAAATTGACAGGAAACATAACTGCTTATATTTCACATTTTTAAGGGGAAAATATCTCTTCTTTCCACGGAAAAACACGAACGATATATGACTTAGAATCCCCTTAGGTCTGTTTCTTTTACGAGGAAGAAGCAGTAGAAGAAGATATGTTTACGCAAATTAAAATAATTTAATTACTATCGCCCGTCACGCATTCCCCAAGAGTGACCGTGAGTCAATCAGTTCCGATCTGATTATATTTCTTTTGAAGTGATAGTTATTGATAATCATACAATTTAATCACTGTTAATTCCGATTCTTTACTGGGTGGGAAATACCGTGCTGTTGTATTTACTCATTCTACGACCGTTTTAACTGAGTCAGTATCCACGGGCGCCACCGTGAGGATGGGGTCTAATATGACAGCCCATGGTGTAATACACGACAATTAACTACAAAGTACAGTAGTCACTTGGACACGGCCACTCCTATTCACGAGCACTAGTACAATATTTTCAATTACAGAATGAACAA